ACCAAAGACTAAAAGTACTTCATGCTGTGTGCATTGAATTTATTTAATACACGAGTTTCACAATTTGAGTTGAATTACTGAAATAAATGAACTTTTCCACGACATTCTAATTTATTGAGATGCACCTGTATATATTTACACACTACAGTATTTTATGTTTACCAAGACTGCATTTATTTAATATAAATACAGTAATATTGTGAAATATTATTACAACTTAGAATAACTGTTCACTATTCTAAAATGTATTTTATTTTTGTGATGCAAAGCTGAATTTTCAGCATCATTACTCCAGTCTTCAATGTCACATGATCCTTCAGAAATCATTCTAATATGCTGATTTGCTGCTCAAGAAGAAAATCTTGTCAATGTTGAACACAGTTGTGCTGCTTTTTTTTTTTTTTGAAAACATGATTCTTTTTTTTCAAGATTCTTTGATGAATAGAAAGTTCAACAGAACAGCGTTTATTTGAAATAGATTTTTTTTTTGGTCACGTTAAAAAATGTCTTTCCTGTCAATTTTGATCAATTTAATGTTTCTTAGCTGAATAAAAGTATTCATTTTAAAAACAAAACTTACTGACCTCAAACTTTTGAACAGTAGTGTAATTTTTTTCAAGACATTACATGAAAATTGGGGGGAAATATGGTTAGAAGTGATGAAAATGTCACAATGCATTATGTTTTTAAAATGTAAAAATAGCTTTCATTTTTCTATGCAAAATAATATTAGATATTGTTGTTTTGTTTTTTTCTGTGTTTTGCTTTTGGGAGAAAAATCTTGACCGCTTTCATAAGATTCATCTGCATTTCTCAGAGGATGTAGTTTCCATATCAGTGTGAATTTTTGGCTGTAATAATGTTACTGTATGATATAACGTTCAGTAACTTCTGCAAACTCTATTATTACTCTGTCAAAACACACAGCATGTGGGTGGCGTCCCATAAGTTCTTGGTTTCTTCGTGGTTTATTTGGGTTCACGTGTTTGAATGTTACCATGGGCTCAAATTGCTTAAAGTATGAAGAAACCACTGTGAAAAACATTGTAAAGCATGAGTCTAAAGTAGGACAGCAGTTTCCATGTTTAGGCATCAGGGAGCTTGTCTGGGGCAATGTCTGGCCCTGTAGAGATTAAAACCACAGCAGTCAACCAATAGTGTGGATCTTAGTAAACATAACATCAGTTTTAAAGTGTGTGTGTGTGTGTGTGTCTCTCGTGTATCCCAGTGAGGATCAGGCGAACTTTAGGGGCTTCATGAGAACTCTGGCTCATTTCCGTCCTGTGGAGGATAATGAGAAAAACAAAGACCTGACTTCGGGCGAGCCGCTCAACAGCAGAACCAACAAACTCCTCTGTAAGTTCAACTCAAACACTTCTCATATTAATGTCAAGTTTTTGTTTGTTTCCACAAAAATATTGTGCAGCACAACTGTTGTCAATATTAATAATGATAAGAAATGTTTCTTGAGCAGCAAATCAGCATATAGAATGATTTCTGAAAGATCATGTGACACTGAAGACTGGAGTGATGATGCTGAAAATTCAGCCTTGCATCACAGAAATAAATTACCTTTTAAAACGTATTGTAATAAAAAACAGTTATTTTAAATTGTAAAAATATTACAATATTATTTTTTACTGCATTTTAAATAAAATGAATGCAGCCTTGGAGAGGGACCTCTGTGAATATATTTAAATGCTTTGAGTGATAAACACAAATTACTGAATCAGAGTGCAGAATCAGTTTGAATGAATTGAACTTACCATCTCAAATGCCATTTTTGCTGTTAGGTTTAAAAAGTCTCAAGACAAGGAATGATTGTAAAACTCATTTAGTGCCTTTTTGGAAATTTAATGGTCAAATAAAATATCCATTTAGAAAATACAAATTTAATCAATATTGACCAACCAGATATTAAGAATGGTACAATCCATCATAGTAACTTCAAAGCATTTAAAAGCAGGTGAAATGTCATTTCCCAAAGGGAAACAAATGGCTTGAACTGATCCTGGTCTTAAACGTACTTACTGTTTTTAATGATGTTCTAAAACATGCTTTAGCTGCTTTTAATCTCTGCTTCAGAAACCTGTTCTCTGCTACCAGGCCTTGCAATGAGTTCATCTAGCATAAAGTGTTGCAAATTTTAATAATATTGTGGTTTTCTCTTATTTCTTTGCAGTCGCTTTCCGGTTATATGACCTTGACAGAGACGACAAGATCTCCAGAGACGAGCTGCTACAGGTAAGAGAATCGTGCTTAATGTACAACAGAAAAGCTCTGCACCCGGCTCTGACACGAGAGACAAAAGAACGTTCTGTACCGTCTGAACAATGAAGCACTGACTCAACTGACCTTGCCATCTGAAACCAGCTATTCATATTCACAGAAGTCAGTCACTCTGTTAGACTAGGAAACCCCATTGCAGCTGGATTTCAGAAGATCAGATTCAGGGGACTTTAGGGATCTGTTATTTTTACTTTCCTATCAAACATGTAAAATAGAATTAATGCTTGGTATTTCAGGGATATGTTATTTTTACTTTACTTTCAAACATGGAAATGATTAAACATTTTTTTCTACTATTATATTTTAACCTGGATTTCTCTATGCTTGTACGTAGTACTAGATTTTCAAAGAAAACAAACCTATGAAAGGTTTTTAAATATTTTTTGACATTTTGCAAATGTTTACCATTATGTAATCAATGAACACTAATGTTAATGTAGCTACAAAATGCTTCTGAATTATCCTAACAGTGTGTAATCTTTCCACAAGCCTGTGGGAATGCTTATCCTTCTACTGATTTCTGTTGGGGCATATTTATTTAACTTAACAAATCCCTTTATTTTTACCCTGTCAAGTTAATTATGTATTTTTTTATTGTTTATAGTTGAATTTCTTTTTGTTGCATAGTTTTTTTTGTGACTTTATTCCACTCTAAGACCATTAGAATTACACAATTTTTTCCTCAGCATATAAAATAATAAACAACACTTTGCTCCACTTAAACAGGTTTGTGTTTCTCAATATAGTTTTTAACTGTTCCATCTTAAAAAAAAAAAAAGCCTCTTTGTAAAGCTTCTATACATTTCACAAGATAGATTCACAAATCAAACCAGATAGAGATATTGTTAAAAAAATAAACTTCAGCCACTCATTTTTAACATTGGAATTAGAGATGCACGATATTATCGGATCAATGTCGGAATGACCGATAATGGCTTTAAATTTAAATATCGGCATCGGCCCGATATGAAAAATTATGCAGATATGTCTTGCCGATGAGAGGAATACATTAACTCACATGTGCTCACGGTGTGCTAGCGATTAGGTCAACATTGTGGCTCATTCTTGAACCAAAATTTGCCTGAGTGATGATTAGATTCACTAATTCGTTTTGGATTGCTGCATTTAAACTGAGAATGCACATACAGAATGACGTTTGGTGTATGATGGAGTAAACAGTAATAGCAAGTGCAATGGCAGCCTCCCCCTGGTCCTAATGCCCGCTCAGTAAGGCGTTTTAATTCCGTAGGGGGTGCTGTTGGCCTACTTTAAAGGTCAGAAGCTATAGCTTACTTGAACAAAAAAAATAATCACAAACATGACACTTAAATTAAATAATTTTATATATACCTACTGATTTATTGTAATATGTTATATTTTTTTAAACAAATTATGAGCTCTAAAAGATTTTCAGAATTTTTACAACTCTTTTGCTTTAGACCATTTACAAATGTTATCATAAAATAAAATGTTAAGGCTACCACTGCATCTTTCTATCTTTCTGAAAAAAAAATGCAGTGATTAATAGTTTATTTATAGTTATTTTCAAATCTTCAATGTACTGTCATTATAAAATAACTTTATTATTGTTTATTTAATTCTAACAAATAAGTTTCTGTTAAAAATGAACCAAAATTAAAAAATAATTATATATCGGCATCGGCTATCGGCCAAAATGAGTTGAAAATTATCGGATATCGGCAAAAATCCAATATTGTGCATCCCTAATTGGAATTCTAACGGATATGCAATGCGACTGATGTAATATAAATAATAGTATCTAATCTATTTGTATTACTTTACTATCACTGGTTGGGCCAACACTGAATAGGCATGGAAATGTCATGATCGTATTTTAATTATTGAGAATTATAGCATTATAAAATCCAGTATGAACCTTTTTTGCAACTTTGTTTCAGTAGATGATCTTTTTGAACCTCAGGAGATCAAAACAAATTAGATTTCACATGAAACAAGTAATTTGAAAAAGTGCATGCATAGGGAATTGCAGTCTTCTGTTGAGCCACTGGATAGCACCAGATAATAATGTAAAAATAAATAAATAAAACAGACTCAAACTTGCTTGTTTTGCAGGTGCTGAGAATGATGGTAGGCGTGAATATTTCTGACGAGCAACTTGGAAGCATTGCAGACAGAACCATCCAGGAAGCTGACACTAATGGAGACATGTGTATCTCCTTCAGTGAGTTCATCAAGGTAATGCCTGGAAAAGCAGTATTTGAGTTCCACTTCAGGGAATAGTCCATCCAAAAATGAAAATGGGCTGAAAGTTTACTTGCCTTCAGACCATTCAAGATAAACATGAGTTTGTTTCTTCATGGGAACAGATTTGGAGAAATGTAGCATCACATCACTTGCTCACCAATGGATCCTCTGCAGTGAATGGGTGCTGTCAGAATAAGAGTCCACACTGCTGATTAAAAGCATCACAATCATAAACAAGTAATCCACACGACTCCAGTCCATCAGTTAACAGCTTGTGAAGTGAGAAGTTGCGTGTTTATAAGAAACAAATCCATCATAAAGTAACATTTAAAGGAAAATGCTACAAAAACGGCTTGATCTGAAAAGAGCTGTTTTTGACAGGGTAAAAAAGGTGTTTTTTACACTACCATTGAGAAATTTTAACCAAACTATGTTACAGACTTTTCCTTAAGACCCCAAAGAATCATATCGACTTGTGGAAAATGGGCATCCTATGACCCCTTTCACTTAAAACAGTCGCTGCTGGCCAAAATAAGTCTATAATCCATAATAACGCTTCCTCCTCCATCTCCTGTTGTCCTCTCACATCAAAATCCACCAAATATTTGCTCAACTGTTTTGGACTGTTTTCGCTTGTAAACGGTGCTTGATCTGTGCATATTTCTCTCCTGATTCAGACGAGATTTTTTTTTTTTCACTGGAGAAAGAAATATTATGGTTAGAGGACTTGTTTTTAGCTGGAAGCAATGGTTTGAAGTTAAAAACGTCATGATGGATTTGTTTCTTACAAACACGCAGCTTTTGGCTTCACAACACGTTAACTGATGGTCTGGAGTGGTGTGGATTACTTGTGGATGATTGTGATGTTTTTATCAGTTGTTTAGACTCTCATTCTGACGGCACCCATTCACTGCAGACGATTCATTGGTGAGCAAGTGATGGAATGTAAATTTTTTTGTCTTTTGGCTCAGGAAAGCAACAGGGTCGGAATGACATGAAAGTGATTAAATGATTCCAAAGTTAGTTTTGGGGTGATTTGTTGATTTTCAAAAACCCTTTTTCGTACCTCAGGTATTGGAAAAAGTGGACGTTGAACAGAAGATGAGCATCCGCTTCCTTCACTGAAAACCAAACGCGCTCTGAACTCTGACTGGAGACCATCAGTGTCAATAGAGATAAGACGCGCCCCTGACTCTTCTCTCTGTGGGCTGATTCATCCTTTATAAACATGATTGTGTTGTCATGGTTACGTTTGTTCCAATCATCTGTCACTCTTGAGTTGCTGTTGCACCAGAAGGGTGGGTCCAGTGCCTTCACTATTCTGAAAAGTCACAGTGGCATTTATCTCATATGTTAAAATATTTATTCCAGCTGTGAAAGCAGCTAATTAAAACTTTCCAAATGGGGAAGCTGTCATTGATATTGATACTGACGGACGCTTGTTGTAATGCCCATTTCGTCACCATCTTAAAGGCCAAATCTGATACTTCTATAATAAATAAATGAGTTTCTAAGGAATTTCCATGAGAAACGTTCCTTATCACCTGTGAAAATTATATATTTTTATTTTTAAAGGTGAAGCGTGTAAACTAAGATCTGTTTAAGCATCCAAATTTGACATGACAACGTTACCCGAAATACTAACCCTAAGCAAACAGTAGAGGATGTTTGACACCATCATTTTTGTGAATTGAAGTTATGCACATTTCATCTGATCTATCTTACAATTTTTTGCCTGGCAGATGATAACAGTCGAAAAAATCTGTTAGACTTGCATTTTAAGGATGGATTTGAGATATAGAGGGACCAGAATATAATAGAGATTTGTGCTGCATGGGCTCTTTTAATTTAGACTGGAAAACAAACATCTAGAACACCCTAACAACGTGAAAAAGTCACTTTGAACCCCTTAGCAACCCCTTTGCACAGCCAAACACCACTCACTTCCTTCAGAAAATGTAAGAATCTAAGCAATTCTCTTTAATGGTGCAGAAATGACTCGCTTCACATTTTCAACTCTTGTTCATTCAGTCCAGTCAATTTCAAAACTAACCAGTGGTTTAATGTTGGGTGTGATTTGTTCTATATGACGTATGCTCTCAGAGTTGTCATGCATCATTATTTATAAGAAGGGTACTTGGAATCAAAAGTCACTCCCCGACTACATCACTGTGCTGTTCTCTCAGTTATTCAACCGTTGACTGAACACTTAAGTTGATCAGGGTGGCAACAACAGTCTGTTGCATTTTAACGCTTTTTGTCTTTGCTTTATATATGAACAAAATCGAAGTTCTGTGCCTGTGTCCTTTATGGATATAAATAGGGATGCTCCGATCCGCCTTTTTCGCCTCCGATACCGATTCCGATACCTAGGGTTCGGTATTGGCCGATACCGATACCAGTGAAGTTTTTTTCCCCCATTTAAATAAATGTAGAATTTATATATCTCTGTGTGTGGAACTGATAATCATTCTTTCACAATCTACTAGATACAGACTACTTCATTATAAAGAAAAATAAAATAAACAATAAATATGAAAAAATATAGGCCTATGTATATTTATAATCTATGACAAAAATGTATCATAAACTAGGTTAGTGGATAATTCGGCAGCAAAAGTTATTCTAGAAAAATCAGTGCACAATAATTTTAGAAATCCAAACATTTAGTGAAAAAACAATATTTTGTGGGGAACAAATAAAAGTGTTGCACTAAATATGGTAAAATATTTACACATTGCTATTTGTATTATAAAATCCATTCATTAAAAACATTCCTATATATGTTTAAGTATATACTATAAAATTAAAATAAATTTCTTTTGAATGTATAGCATAATTTTTAATAAGGCAACAACATATGATAGATACTATAGGACAAAACCAATACAGTGCAGCACAAACTGTTTTTATACATTCTATGAGCACGAAGCGCTTACAATGTGCGCATCCGGTGTGCAGAATGATGGCGTCACAGCCTGACGCCGTGTTGCTTCAAGAGCATCATTCTGCACACCGGATGCACACATTGTAA